TACGTCATTAAAAGTGTGATTATCGAAACCCACACATCAGTAATACGAATGCAACCTAAGCTGTATGATGTTTTTGATACATTTTTGTAGGCTGAATCAAAAACGTGCCTAGAATGGTAATGTGGTAATAATAGACTTTTCCTAATAATAGGCTGTTTGTACTTGACTACAAAAGCGTATTTCTCAGTGTTGTGGTATGGGAGTGTAACTCATAATACCCTGGGACACAAAAGTTGTGTAGAAATAAATGCATGCAGTAGACCAAGCTCAGGGAATTTCTTGAACAGATCTGGCAGTGGCTAACCAAGGCACAATTACAGGATATAGCAGCAAGACTATGATAACAAAGCTCAAGAGAAATGAGAAAGCCCTTTATGCACAAAGGTCCACTTGTCAGTTGTCATCAAGTTCACCTAGCTGAAGATAAGGCTTGCAGCTGCCTATTCAGTGACAGTCGTGTTGTTTTGGAAGCTGCGCTCTTGAGATAGCTGTGTCCTGGGAAGGAAGAGCTCATGCAGAGCTCTGGAAATGTCCAGAGTCACTGAAATGTCATAAACCTAAATATTTTAGTCCTGCTTTTAGCCAGCTAGTGAAAGGAATGAGGAGACACTGCTGGTGGCAAAAGTAGATTGAGAATGAAAATGTTAGATGAGAGTACCTATTCTGTGTAGTTGCCATTGTTAAGACTCCTGGTGTTGATGTGCAGCTATTGCCATGAGCTGTCATTTAGGTTCTGCAGCTAGTTCTCACAAAATGTTATATCTGCAGCTGTTCCATAAGCAGTGATGGAGGGTCAGTCCTTGCATGTTAGATTTAAAAAAAACAATGACCTCTCCACTCACTATTGTCAATACCAGCAACATAGCTCAAAGAAAAAAAAAAAAAAAAACCCACAAACACCCACCAAAAAAAACCACCAAAAAAACCACCAACCAAAAAAACACACAAAAACAAAACAAAACAAACAAACAAACAAAAAAAGACCTGACAGAAAGATTGTTAGTGAGGCATGGCCATGGTCAGTGTCATCAAGTTTTTGCCATGCTGCTTACAGATGCAGGCATTATGTCATATAAACCCAGAAAGGGTATGACAGTGCATAAGCACATGTGTTTTGTGCATTAAAATGTCTTTATTGAGTTATCTTCACGTCTTAAAAGTGGTTATGGAACAAATGAATCTTTTACCTTGCAGATTTCTGCTCATAAGTGTGAAGATTGCATTAACCTCTTATTTAAACTGCACATTTTATCATTTTAGTCATCCTTTGAACCAACAAAATGGACTTTTGCACTGAGAACAGTTCCATATAAACAGGACAAGGTAGAGCAAATACTCAACTCATTTTCCCACAGACTGCCCACAGAGGTTATCTCAGAGAGTGAATTATAATGTTTGTTAACATCCTTAAAGATGAAATGTAAACAAATATCAAAATAATAGTATTAGAAATTTTAAAAAAGAACCCAATGAAAGGAAAATTATTTCTTATAATACAATAGGAAAATCTTATGTATTTTAAAAATAAAATAAACCCCCAGTGGATTAATAAAAAAAAAACCCCAGTTGCAATTAATAAAAAGAAAAGTCACTCTGATTATTTCAGACATTTTCTGAATACAACCAAGAGAGATGGAAGGAGTACAAGAAGTACTCGTGAAAGAGACCGTTTAGGAAGAAGGGAAAGAACAGTTTATTCTATTGCTACTGCAAAATTGAACTCAGCAATTTGTGCTTAGGTACAGTAGATGACCTGAAGTACTGGGACAAAAACAATAATTCTGGAATAGAGTACAGTATAGTTCTTAATCCTAATGTTTATATTTACTTTCTGTTGATTTTTAAAAATTATTTTGTATACCAGGCTACATTTAAATACAGTAAAAAGCTAAAGATAAATTCCACCTGTTTTTTTCTAGGAACCATTCACTCACAAGGGGTCACGAATTTACTTGGCAACATTATTTGCCATTTGTTAACTTATAAGGCAATAATTCTCTAATAACATGTAAATACTCACCATTCATTTTATAGTGTATTGTCCATTTCACACAGGTAACACAGTACTGTTTTAGTTTCTCACTGAACCCTTTTTTATAACTAACCAGCAGTATAATTCAGTACTGTTAGAAACCAGTTTCCTAAGTTTTTCAGTAGTGTTTTGCAGTAATGTTTCTGGTGGGCTTTTTTCAGTGAATGAACCAAACAACTGACATCTTTTCATTCTAAATTTTTGGGAGGTATCTATTATTCAAAAGTAGCTTTTGCCGGGCATTCAAGAACCCAAACATGAAATTTACAAGTAAATTTACTAGTGAATTTTAGAGTGAAAATATGTGTGGATACAAATACTACAATCAAGTTGTAGTTGTGGTTTAGTTAGGTTAGAAATCAAATAAATTTAGGCCTAAAATACTTTTTTTTGTTTATTTGTCTCTGAGAAAATAGAAGGGGAAATCATAGCAGAGCTCTTTCCAAGCATTAACTGCCATACATAATATACAAAGCCAGATAAAAAGGGAGAAAAATATTTAACAGTTCTGAAAGCAACCTGTATCATATAGTGGATTAATCATTGTCAGTGTCAATAAAGATATGTTCCAAAGCCATGATTTATCAGATTTAACATAGCTAGCACAACATTTGTAGAAATTCTGAACTCTTTGGATTATACAGCCCTGAGGACTTCAGTTTGGTTTTCATAACTGCTATAACTTCAGTAGGGTTGATTTTTAAAACATCCTCTACATCAGTGAAAACATCCTTAGAAATGCAGTCTGTCGTTTCAGACTTTATTTTCTGGGTTTCGCTGACTGGTGAGTATGCTCATAGTTTCATGAATACCTTACCACTAAAGTATTTACTTTGTGCACACAATTACTTTGCCAGAAGCCATTGTGGTTTCTGAATATGTCTGGAGAACTGCATTCCTTGAAGGTCTTTGATATCTGATACTAGGAACCGAAACATCCAGAATCACCGATCATTTTTAATGTCTTGGCTTTAGGAAATAAATTTATTTTTGTGGCTTTCCAAGCAGAAACAAGACATTGCAGAGGGAGCTAACTGACTCTGGTATACATTTTCTAACATAATTTTCAGTATAAACCAATATGGCTGGAAAAACATTCTTTATTCACTGTGAGCAAACTGACCAAAGAACTCTGGGAGCTACCTTGTGTGGAAGGAAATTAATGAAGCTTTTTTGGAGTGGTGACTGCACGTTTTTACCAGGTAACACCATCTATATGAAGTACAGGGTACTTGGTACAATTAGAGTATATTAGATGGGTATGGGAGTTGCGGACAAAAGAGATAGCAGCTCTTGAGTATGGAAAGCATTGGTATATGGGATGACCTAGACTTGTCATATGTTATGCACTTAAACTATTTGTTTTACTAGGTGTTTCTGGAATTTTGTGAACATCTGCTTTACTATATAATCTGAAACTCACAAAAGTGCACTTGAATTATATTGCTATACATATTATAACCATACGCGTTATCCTTAACCCTTGTGTTATATGGTGTCAACTCCACTGCTGAGTCTGAATGTTTTCAGTATGAAAATGAAGAGTAAAGGACAACATAGATGTTGGAGACAGAAGTCTGGTCTGGTAGGCTGTTGAACATCATCTGCAGCATGGGACTGCAGTCTATATCCAAGAAGCATGGTCATTACTTACAGGTGGCAAGATGCAAAACACGTTTTCAAGTATCTTCTTGAACAGATACAGGGGACAAAGTAAAATCAGAGAAGAAACCACTGGGATTTTCTTGTATAATATTAGCGGATATTAACCTTACATTGTCTTCCGTGTCTCTTCGTTGTAGGCACTTGTTTGGATTGAGATGCATATTAAATAAGCTCTGACAGTGTGTTAAGATTGCAGTAGTGTTTAGCAGTACCCTCTGCAGGCTTTTATTTGATAACTAGAGAGAGCTGTAGCCACTCTACTCTGTTTTGATTATGTGTTTATAGTGGTTGAGCTGGTTCTTTTTACATATTTTGCTAGCAGACTACCATCTGAACTTTGGAATTCTGTTCCCAGGCTGCTTGGAAATAAACAAAGAGTGCTGTAAGTGATGCACTAAGTGCCACACAAATTACCTGCTTGTTTCAAGAGCCTGGTTTCTTATCAGTTTGTGTATTACAACCATACAGCGTCCTGGGCAACAGGAATTCAAGTTCCCATCTCTCTTCCCCCTAGGAACTTATTTTTGTCTGTACTGACCTGACTGTGTCTGAAAGAAACAGGTGATCAATTCAGCTTTTAGTCCTTTGTGATTAGTGACTACACTAAAAAAAAAAATAATTGCCTTTTTTTTTTGTCACATTCAGCCAAGTTGTTACTGAGCCAGAGCCATCCAAACATCCCTAAAATGCAGCCGAAAGTACAGCTGAATTTGTCACTGTCAGAGGAGGTATCATATTTTGAGCTGTTTCCTGTTTAAGTCCAATGTAAAAGAAACTATTTTCAAATTCTGCTTTTTTTATCTATTTGTTAGTGATCTGTACATTGCAGCTTAAAAATACCTTCTACTTGCAGGACAGAACTTGGAAATATTACATGAAAATTAATTGCTCATCCCAAATCATCGTTGATTAAATGGTAACCATTTCAGTACAAGAATATCATCACAATAGAGCCTTTTCGTTACTGTATTTATGAGTAAATTGCTCTCATTCATGACTGTACCCTAAACACCAAAGCAGATATGTTTTCCAATTATGAGGCTCAGAAATATGAGGACAGTTATATGCCAAGAGTTCTGTCTTCTGGTCTGAGACAATAGACTGACATCTTTGTGGTCTCTAAGATGTAGTCAAAGTCTTTGTTGTTAAAATCTTACTAAGATCTTACTGTTATATGTGTAAATTACTTAAAGAGACAGATTTGAGCTCTTTTGTCAAGCAGAACTTGTACCTACTTAGCTGAAGGGGCAAAAGATGCAAGGTGTTATAAGTTAGTATAAGAATTTAGACAACTCAATTCCAATTAAACATTGATAAATTTATTAAGCAAGCGATAATAAAGCAAAACAGCGCTGGGTGGCCTGGAGGGCAAGTGCCCTGCCGAAGCACACACCAAAATGTAGTAAATGTTCCTTTTTATACATTTCCAAGTCCCGAGTTTTTAATGCGGCTGCGTTGAGGCTTGAGTTTGTAGCTCATTGTTAAGTGGTCATCTGGTATTTGTCAGAGATGAAAGGTGCAGTTTCTTATCAGTTGTAAATTTTACTGATACTGATACTTGTTTGCTTAGCAAGATGTCTGCAATTATTTTTACTGATACTTGCTTGATTAACAGGATGTCCATGAAACTTATCTTGTTGAATTATAACAAAAGCTCCTTATTCCCTCATACACGTAAGATTTTATGAACAAAGTTAACCCTTCTATTACAATCCCCCATTTTTTTTTTTTTTAAACATGGTAATAATTTTATTAAAAAATACATGGTTTAAATGTTAGTCTTAAAAGTAATAAAATAAGAGGTTTTGTAATAATTGACAACAGAGTAATTAACCAAGGTGCATAGTAGTATTTAAAGGGTTGATGATTATTAGTTATTTTTGTGTTTGTTTTTGAAATGTTTACTTTTAAATTATTGGTATATTGAGTACATAACGATATAGAAATGCTCACTTTAAAATTATTGGTGGAGACCTTGAGGAAGTATAACTGAGGTTCAATTTTTTTTGTTGTTGTTTGGCTTTGTCCTTTTTATTTTACAGGGTGTTAGTTTTAGTTTAGGTTTATTGAGAGGATTGTCATATATTTACAGACCCACTCTAGTACGTCTCTGCCTCCCTTCGCCTGACTCCGTGGCATGGAGCAGCGAGGTATTTTGTAATCTTCTCGGCAGCAGTCGTATTCTTCAGGGTTTATATGACGTTTAAGTTTAAGATGTTTTGAAGGAGAAAAAAAAAAATCCACACTCCCAAAGTATTACACACAAAGTATTTCAATCATTATTGTTTGTTTGTTTGTTTTTTTTTGTTTTTGTTTTTTTACTTTAAAGGGTAGAATAAATTTTTTTCCTTAGGTGGCACTTTATAACGTGCTTCCACCAATAATTTTATAGGTGTATATACTTTATAGACATTTTTCGTGTTCTTGGGACTAATAGTTAATATTATTTTTTTTTATTATATTATTGACAAATTATTCATCTTTTATGATTTAAATGGGGATGTTTTAAACAGGGTATGCCTCTAGGTATTCTATGAAGTACAGGAATATTGGTTTTTATTTTATAACAGTGGGGCAGATGGATATGGGTTTCTATTATTTTAAAGATTGCCCCTGATTTGAGAGGAATTACGTTTGGATGCTAAGGTATATAATGGGTTATTTGTAAAGTATATGAAGGAGGTATTGGAATCCTTTGTACAGCAGGGGGGATGCTTCCTTAGAAATTTAGGAATGAATCATTATTTATTCACCAGTCTTTTCCTTATCAAGATTAATTTCAGATAGTCCATAGTTCTTTCTGTAGTCCAATGGTCACTTGGGAGAGGTTCTGTCATTCGGGAGGGATGTGTCCGTCTCTGCTTTGCAGTAGGGATCACAGTCTCCGTTGTGTGCAGTTCCTGGAATGGATTCTCTCAACAAGGGGTTAAAGATGTTTCCTTCCCAATTTCCAGGGTTTATCCTATGCATCTTGAAATTTAAGGGTGCTGTTTGGGTTAAGGTCCCCCTTTGTTTTCTTTCCAATTCTGCTACAGCTCCCTCCAGTTTTACACTGAGTTCAAGTAGGACATAGAAAGTACGAATACTCCCAGGCTGTGAATATGCTAGTATACAGGAATTAATGTCATTAGTCTCAGTCACCACAGTGATCTGCTGAGAGTCAGCAGCAGGCTTTAGGCCATAAACATAAATCTGTTTACTTGGGGTGTCACATCGTCTCTTTTCATTTTTAACAACATGGGTTTCAGTATAAAATAAACGCTAAAATTACTTTTTACTTTAAGGTTGTGTTTAGGAAGGAAAAAGAAAACACCTTTTTTTTTTTTTTTTTTCCCCTTTTTATCACAATCTATAGAAATGAAACTTGATTCAGGGTAGCTGCATCTGCCCTGCCAGGCAGCCGCCCGCCAGAGTTCCCTCCAGGCCAGGAACTCAAAAGAAATACGCCAAATAAGTTTATGGAAAAGAAACAAAAAGAAACAAAAATAAAAACATATGTATTCACTATACAAACTCCAAATTTTTTTTCCTTCTCCCCCCTTTTTTTTTTTTTTTTTTTTCCAACGAAGGTCAGTTCAGTCAGTTCTTTAAGATGTGTTTACGTCCCATACAGGGCAATATAAACAGATCGGCAATATAAACAGATCGGTAATAAACAGTGTGGAAGTTATTCTACAAGGTTAGTGAGAAGAAGAAATATTCTCCTAGTGAAATTAGGGTAGATTAGGTTTAATGCAATTAATGGGTACTCAGTTTACATACATGATGTATACAAAGTCTTCTCCCCAGGTGGAAGGGAGAAGAAGTAAAGGCGATATTAATATTGAAGTTTTTGTTAAAAGTATGGTTTTTCAGTACAGAATACACACAAAAATTATTTCCGTGTACATATCTTATGATAACAAATAATTGGTAGTACTCTAGGTTTGTGAGAATATTTAAAGGTACAGATACATGCAATGAAAGCAACACTATTTTACCATTTAATACATTTACACCAACTATGATTACAATAGCCCATGATATTAACAATGGCTCCGGTGCATCTCCTTTAAAAATGAAGTTTTTAACAACAAAATTATACAACATTTTCTTATGTCACACTGGCAAATATAATCACAGAGTTATTATATCAGAGTTTCTGATTTGAATTCAGATTCTTTTAATAAAAGTACTGACTAATCAATTAATTTGAAATCCCATCCTCTTTCCCTACCTCATCTGGAGCAGGGAAGCACTATTCTCCTCTTCCCTCTGACTTTCTCTTCTCAATCTACTATATGCAATTCTTTCTTTCTTTATAGATTCTAACACTGTTCTTATCTTTTTCTTTTAAAGATTACAACAGTAACTTCCCTCTTCTAAACCATCAAAATTAAAGTTGCAGACTTTTCTTTTCATCACAGTAGACACCGTTTCTTTAACTCTCTCTGTCTCTCCCCCCTCCCTTTTCTTTTCTCAGTTTTCGACACTGTGGTCTCAATTTTGGCATGATTTTGTTCTTAGATTTAAACTTGTTTTATGAGAAGCTTAGTAAATTTTTCCCCTTTTTTTTTTTTTTTATTTTTTCCATTTATAATAAAAAACATTTTATTATTAGGACTTTCGGGCTAATTTGCTGAGGCCTGTTCATGTATACTTTTTGGCTTTCTTTTAGTAAGTTTTTGAGGCCTCTGTTTTGCTACTCACTTAATTTCTTTAGGGTTTTTTTTTATATTTATTATTTTAGGTATGATTTATAAAGTAGATTATTAGTAATATTTGACTAGTTGGGGTGTTAGGATTATTGCCTAAATATTGTTGTAAATTTTTCTTTAGTCTTTTTAACTATGTTTTAGGTGTTTCATTTTTTTTTTTTTCATTAATATAATGTTATTATATTTTGTTCATGGGGGTTAGTTACTTAAAGTCCCCAGATTAATGAACTATAATAATTAGTTATGTGTTACCAATTTAGGGCTGAGTTACAGTTCCCACTGGGAGGGTCGTTAGATTGTATTTTCTCCCAGGTATAGATATTAGGTTTTAAAATTTGGTTTAACTGTTTTGTTACTCCCAAGAGGTTTTTTAATAATAAAGTTCTGACTTCTCTTGGGGTTGTTTATCTCCTGTTACGAGTTTTAGTGCTTTCAGGATTTTCACACCTCTGATCTGACAAGGCATTGAGATCTGCAGAGGGATGGGGGGGAAGGGTGTGTAACAGGGGATTTAGCAGTGCTGTAGAAACAGCAGCTGAAGGAATGTGAAGAGAGGTTTGTGGAAAGGGAGGGTTAATGAGGGGCATGGCGGGCCATAAGGGACCTTCATTTGGGTTTTTAGGGCTTGTTAGTCCTTTTTTTTTTTTTTTTTTTAAGGCAAAGAGGTAACTTGGTTTTCACATTTGGGGTATTTATAATGTTGCATAATCATTTTCCTCATGGATGATTGGGGTTTTTTTATTATTTATCTATGTGTTTAATTGTTGACACACCCAGTCCTCAGAAGACCCGAATACGGGTCATATAATATGGGGATTAGAGAGTGACTTCCCTTCCCAAACCTCGATATAATAATATATCATTTTTTCTTAGATTTATTCTTTTTCTTGGATGAAATATCCCAGTACTTTATCATTTGTCCTAATGGACTGTTTGGTGGTATATTCAGTAATCTATTTTGCATTCCTGTTTTGTTTTGGTTGTTTTTGTTTTTTTGTTTTTTTTTTTTTATTTTTTTCGGGGGATCCCATCCCCATGGAATCAGAGGGCTTGCTTTTCTTTCCTCTGTCCCATCTTCTAAGGTGCCTTGAAACGTACACACACTCGCGTCCTCTCGGTCGTGACTCACGCCCTCGCGGGCCATGAGAACTGCACTACAGGAGAGTCCACACTCGCTTGGTCTCGTATCGAGACCTCTCACACAGGCACACCTTAGGATCACCTCCCCAACCAAACGGCTCACCAAAAAAGAAAACTCTATACTTACCCCTCCCTGGGGTCTTCGTTTGGTCTTCGTGCACAAAATTTAAGGGGTCTGCAGTTTTTTTGCTTTATTATCGAAATTTTATTAGGTTCATTGATCCAGAGTTTGGTGAGAACAGCCTTCAGAGCAGGGCTATACAGAGATAGGGCGCCTCCCTTTTCTGCAGGAGTTCACACCAAAGCAAATTGGATTCCCGGCCAACGCACCAAAATTGTTATAAGTTAGTATAAGAATTTAGACAACTCAATTCCAATTAAACATTGATAAATTTATTAAGCAAGCGATAATAAAGCAAAACAGCGCTGGGTGGCCTGGAGGGCAAGTGTCCTGCCGAAGCACACACCAAAATGTAGTAAATGTTCCTTTTTATACATTTCCAAGTCCCGAGTTTTTAATGCGGCTGCGTTGAGGCTTGAGTTTGTAGCTCATTGTTAAGTGGTCATCTGGTATTTGTCAGAGATGAAAGGTGCAGTTTCTTATCAGTTGTAAATTTTACTGATACTGATACTTGTTTGCTTAGCAAGATGTCTGCAATTATTTTTACTGATACTTGCTTGATTAACAGGATGTCCATGAAACTTATCTTGTTGAATTATAACAAAAGTTCCTTATTCCCTCATACACGTAAGATTTTATGAACAAAGTTAACCCTTCTATTACAATCCCCCATTTTTTTTTTTTTTTTTAAACATGGTAATAATTTTATTAAAAAATACATGGTTTAAATGTTAGTCTTAAAAGTAATAAAATAAGAGGTTTTGTAATAATTGACAACAGAGTAATTAACCAAGGTGCATAGTAGTATTTAAAGGGTTGATGATTATTAGTTATTTTTGTGTTTGTTTTTGAAATGTTTACTTTTAAATTATTGGTATATTGAGTACATAACGATATAGAAATGCTCACTTTAAAATTATTGGTGGAGACCTTGAGGAAGTATAACTGAGGTTCAATTTTTTTTGTTGTTGTTGTTTGGCTTTGTCCTTTTTATTTTACAGGGTGTTAGTTTTAGTTTAGGTTTATTGAGAGGATTGTCATATATTTACAGACCCACTCTAGTACGTCTCTGCCTCCCTTCGCCTGACTCCGTGGCATGGAGCAGCGAGGTATTTTGTAATCTTCTCGGCAGCAGTCGTATTCTTCAGGGTTTATATGACGTCTAAGTTTAAGATGTTTTGAAGGAGAAAAAAAAATCCACACTCCCAAAGTATTACACACAAAGTATTTCAATCATTATTGTTTGTTGTTTTTTTTTTTTTTTACTTTAAAGGGTAGAATAAATTTTTTTCCTTAGGTGGCACTTTATAACGTGCTTCCACCAATAATTTTATAGGTGTATATAGTTTATAGACATTTTTCGTGTTCTTGGGACTAATAGTTAATATTATTTTTTTTTATTATATTATTGACAAATTATTCATCTTTTATGATTTAAATGGGGATGTTTTAAACAGGGTATGCCTCTAGGTATTCTATGAAGTACAGGAATATTGGTTTTTATTTTATAACAGTGGGGCAGATGGATATGGGTTTCTATTATTTTAAAGATTGCCCCTGATTTGAGAGGAATTACGTTTGGATGCTAAGGTATATAATGGGTTATTTGTAAAGTATATGAAGGAGGTATTTGGAATCCTTTGTACAGCAGGGGGGATGCTTCCTTAGAAATTTAGGAATGAATCATTATTTATTCACTAGTCTTTTCCTTATCAAGATTAATTTCAGATAGTCCGTAGTTCTTTCTGTAGTCCAATGGTCACTTGGGAGAGGTTCTGTCATTCGGGAGGGATGTGTCCGTCTTTGCTTTGCAGTAGGCATCGCAGTCTCCGTTGTGTGCAGTTCCTGGAATGGATTCTCTCAACAAGGGGTTAAAGATGTTTCCTTCCCAATTTCCAGGGTTTATCCTATACATCTTGAAATTTAAGGGTGCTGTTTGGGTTAAGGTCCCCCTTTGTTTTCTTTCCAATTCTGCTACAGCTCCCTCCAGTTTTACACTGAGTTCAAGTAGGACTTAGAAAGTACGAATACTCCCAGGCTGTGAATATGCTAGTATACAGGAATTAATATAATTAGTCTCAGTCACCACAGTGGTCTGCTGAGAGTCAGCAGCAGGCTTTAGGTCATAAATATAATTCTGTTTACTTGGGTGTCACATCGTCTCTTTTCATTTTTAACAACATGGGTTTCAGTATAAAATAAACGCTAAAATTACTTTTTACTTTAAGGTTGTGTTTAGGAAGGAAAAAGAAAACCCTTTTTTTTTTTTTTTCCCTTTTTATCGCAATCTATAGAAATGAAACTTGATTCAGGGCAGCTGCATCTGCCCTGCCAGGCAGCCGCCCGCCAGAGTTCCCTCCAGGCCAGGAACTCAAAAGAAATACGCCAAATAAGTTTATGGAAAAGAAACAAAAAGAAACAAAAATAAAAACATATGTATTCACTATACGAACTCCAAATTTTTTTTCCTTCTCCCCCCTTTTTTTTTTTTTTTTTTCCAACGAAGGTCAGTTCAGTCAGTTCTTTAAGATGTGTTTACGTCCCATACAGGGTAATATAAAGAGATCAGTAATATAAACAGTGTGGAAGTTATTCTACAAGGTTAGTGAGAAGAAGAAATATTCTCCTAGTGAAATTAGGGTAGATTAGGTTTAATGCAATTAATGGGTACTCAGTTTACATACATGATGTATACAAAGTCTTCTCCCCAGGTGGAAGGGAGAAGAAGTAAAGGCGACATTAATACTGAAGTTGTTGTTAAAAGTATGGTTTTTCAGTACAGAATACACAGAAAAATTATTTCCGTGTACATATCTTATGATAACAAATAATTGGTAGTACTCTAGGTTTGTGAGAATATTTAAAGGTACAGATACATGCAATGAAAGCAACACTATTTTACCATTTAATACATTTACACCAACTATGATTACAATAGCCCATGATATTAACAATGGCTCTACTGCATCTCCTTTAAAAATGAAGTTTTTAACAGCAAAATTATACAACATTTTCTTATGTCACACTGGCAAATATAATCACAGAGTTATTATATCAGAGTTTCTGATTTGAATTCAGATTCTTTTAATAAAAGTACTGACTAATCAATTAATTTGAAATCCCATCCTCTTTCCCTACCTCATCTGGAGCAGGGAAGCACTATTCTCCTCTTCCCTCTGACTTTCTCTTCTCAATCTACTACATGCAATTCTTTCTTTCTTTATAGATTCTAACACTGTTCTTATCTTTTTCTTTTAAAGATTACAACAGTAACTTCCCTCTTCTAAACCATCAAAATTAAAGTTGCAGACTTTTCTTTTCATCACAGTAGACACCGTTTCTTTAACTCTCTCTGTCTCTCCCCCCTCCCTTTTCTTTTCTCAGTTTTCGACACTGTGGTCTCAATTTTGGCATGATTTTGTTCTTAGATTTAAACTTGTTTTATGAGAAGCTTAGTAAATTTTTCCCTTTTTTTTTTTTTTTTTATTTTTTCCATTTATAATAAAAAACATTTTATTATTGGGACTTTCGGGCTAATTTGCTGAGGCCTGTTCATGTATACTTTTTGGGCTTCTTTTAGTAAGTTTTTGAGGCCTCTGTTTTGTTACTCACTTATTTCTTAAGGTTTTTTTTTTTATATATATTATTTTAGGTATGATTTATAAAGTAGATTATTAGTAATATTTGACTAGTTGGGGTGTTAGGATTATTGCCTAAATATTGTTGTAAATTTTTCTTTAGTTTTTTTAATTATGTTTTAGGTGTTTTATTTTTTTTTTTTTCATTAATATAATGCTATTATATTTTGTTCATGGGGGTTAGTTACTTAAAGTCCCCAGATTAATGAACTATAATAATTAGTTATGTGTTACCAATTTAGGGCTGAGTTACAGTTCCCACTGGGAGGGTCGTTAGATTGTATTTTCTCCTAGGTATAGATATTAGGTTTTAAAATTTGGTTTAACTGTTTTGTTACTCCCAAAAGGTTTTGTAATAATAAAGTTCTGACTTCTCTTGGGGTTATCTCCTTTTACGAGTTTTAGTGCTTTCGGGATTTTCACACCTCTGATCTGACAAGGCAGTAAGATCTGCAGAGGGGATGGGGGGGGAAGGGTGTGTAACAGGGGATTTAGCAGTGCTGTAGAAACAACGGCTGAAGGAATTTGAAGAGGGGTTTGTGGAAGGGGGGGTTAATGAGGGGCATGGCGGGCCATAAGGGACCTTCATTTGGGTTTTTAGGGCTTGTTAGTCCTTTTTTTTTTTTTTTTTTAAGGGAAAGAGGTAACTTGGTTTTCACATTTGGGGTATTTATACTGTTGCATAATCATTTTCCTCATGGGTGATTGGGGGTTTTTTATTATTTATGTATGTGTTTAATTGCTGACACACCCAGTCCTCAGAAGACCCGAATACGGGTCATATAATATGGGGATTAGAGAGTGACTTCCCTTCCCAAACCTTGATATAATAATATATAATTTTTTCTTAAATTTATTCTTTTTCTTGGATGAAATATCCCAGTACTTTATTATTTGTCCTAATGGACTGTTTGGTGGTATATTCAGTAATCTATTTTGCATTCCTGTTTTGTTTTGGTTGTTTTTGTTTTTTTGTTTTTGTTTTTTTTTTTTTTTTTCGGGGGATCCCATCCCCATGGAATCAGAGGGCTTGCTTTTCCTTCCTCTGTCCCATCTTCTAAGGTGCCTTGAAACGTACACACACTCGCGTCCTCTCGGTCGTGACTCACGCCCTCGCGGGCCATGAGAACTGCACTACAGGAGAGTCCACACTCGCTTGGTCTCGTATCGAGACCTCTCACACAGGCACACCTTAGGATCACCTCCCCAACCAAACGGCTCACCAAAAAAGAAAACTCTATACTTACCCCTCCCTGGGGTCTTCGTTTGGTCTTCGTGCACAAAATTTAAGGGGTCTGCAGATTTTTTTGCTTTATTATCGAAATTTTATTAGGTTCATTGATCCAGAGTTTGGTGAGAACAGCTTTCAGAGCAGGGCTATCCGGAGATAGGGCGCCTCCCTTTTCTGCAGGAGTCCACACCAAAGCAAATTGGTTTCCCGGCCAATGCACCAAAATTGTTATAAGTTAGTATAAGAATTTAGACAACTCAATTCCAATTAAACATTGATAAATTTATTAAGCAAGCGATAATAAAGCAAAACAGCGCTGGGTGGCCTGGAGGGCAAGTGCCCTGCCGAAGCACACACCAAAATGTAGTAAATGTTCCTTTTTATACATTTCCAAGTCCCGAGTTTTTAATGCGGCTGCGTTGAGGCTTGAGTTTGTAGCTCATTGTTAAGTGGTCATCTGGTATTTGTCAGAGATGAAAGGTGCAGTTTCTTATCAGTTGTAAATTTTACTGATACTGATACTTGTTTGCTTAGCAAGATGTCTGCAATTATTTTTACTGATACTTGCTTGATTAACAGGATGTCCATGAAACTTATCTTGTTGAATTATAACAAAAGCTCCTTATTCCCTCATACACGTAAGATTTTATGAACAAAGTTAACCCTTCTATTACACAAGGGACTAGTTGCTAATATACATACAAAAAAAGTATGAATACGGTCAGTTATATTCTTAGATGGACCTCCCAAATATTGAATAACCTAACTGAAAAATAAACCCATTAAAGAAGAATGCATTTGAAAATTACAGAAAGTCGGTTGACTTTATCCACGTCTGGAAAAATCTCTAGGTATTCTGTGGGCAGTTCAGAGGTTTGATGTTTGTAAATAAACACTGTGTGGAGCTACAGAGCTTGTCAGGAGATTTAAATTAGATAGCATCAAAACAGTCAAATAGAAGAGGAAGTGCTATATGAACTTCTGCTTTTAGGCTACACTGCAATAGTCACAGTTTTTCAGTCACTGAACCGTGCCAACTTTTCAGCAGTTCCTTGACAGAGTTAAATAGACATTTTCCTAAATGTACTCAGAGCTCTTGTGTTCCATTAATAAGAAAAAGTGGAGTATTTCAGCTTTTGTAGATTAAAGCCACAAAACTACTGAGTGGGAAGAAAACTATTTGTAGTGCTGACAGAACAAAATACAGTTTTGTACACCAAGGCTTACTTGTTTTGATAAGCATGCTGTGTCTCAGTGGATGTCAGTTTTTCAGCTTGGATAGTGCTTTATGACTTGGCTTAATACTTAGAGTAAATAAATAAGGACATGCTCTGGCAGAAATGTTTCCATTACTCATCTTTTTGGAATGATATGATGAAACATAGCACCAAACATTCTTAAACAATCCTGGGAAACACAGGTCTCAGAGTGACTGTCTTACAGTCTCATTAAGAATAATTACTACGTTTTATTAAGAATACTACTCTTCCATATTAAGAGTTATTTTTCTGTTTTACTTATGTAGGTCAATGAAAATTGCTGGCCAACACTGAATATATTGAAATAATCTCTGTGATTGGATATGCACATGCCTTGTAGAGGACAGATGCAGGAAAATGTTTAGTCAGAAGGCTCTGGTTTAGCAAGCACGTGCCTTAATTGCCTCAGTGACCCACATCGGTCTCAGTTATACTTTTAGTTTGCCATACTATACAGATAAGAGGTTCTTATTTACACATTAAAAATTAATGAAGCATGCTTTTAATGCACTCTGAAACTACAGCTACAATATCAGCTCTTAAATGCTTTTTTAATCATTGATGTTTTGCCCTAACAAATGCCAAATCAGTATTACTTTACTGATAGTAATAAGAACATTAATTTATTAGTAAGTTCAGAATGTTCTTGTCACTTGAACATGGTGGGCTGTTCTCACCCCTTCACATCAAAAAAGCATGAAGGGCAAAAAGAGTGATCAAAAGCCTCAGGACTGCAGGTTACTGAGTAGGATCTGACCAGGGGTTAAGTTTGTGTAAAAGGATGTGAAAAGTTATTGTACATGACCTGAAAAGGACTGCAAATGTGAACGTATCTTTAAGATACGTGAGTGAGAGCATGCCTATGTTCCACTATTCAAGACATCAACAAGAAAGGAGGAACTGGATCAGGCCACCTGTGTGTCCACGCACATGTGTGTGCAGTTTCTGTTTGGTGGGAGACACAGAAGGAAGAGGTTGGGGTGAAACACTGCAAAAGCTATCAGATTAGATAGTATGAATAAGGACCTGGTGTTCACTGTCCTTTCCATTATAAGACTCAGGGAGTATCCAGGGAAGCTTGCATTTGGATAGGTACTGAATAAACCTATTAGTTTATTCTATCTAAAATAGAAGAAAAAAGTCAGTATGTCCACTTCTTGAGTAGGTTGTTAAGTTGCAGACACATGTTTTCTCACCATTTTATGATTTTTTTTCAAAATGAGTTCATCAGCCAGTATGTATTGTTACTTGAAGAGTGGGAAGGCTGTGGATGTGGTCTATCTGGAATTCAGCAAAGCCTTTGACACCATCTCCCACAGCATACTCCTGAAAAAGCTGCAGCCCATGGCTTGGACAGGGGCACTCTCTGCTGGATTAGGAATTGGCTGGAGGGCCGGGCCCAGAGGGTGCTGGTGAACGGGGCTGCATCCAGTTGGTGGCTGGTCACCAGTGGTGTTCCTCAGGGATCAGTGTTGGACCCAGTCCTGTTTAATATCTTTATTGATGATCTGGGTGAGGGGATTGAGTCCACCATCAGCAAATTTGCAGATGACACCAAGTTGGGAGGGAGTGTTGACCTGTTGGAAGGCAGGAGGGCTCTGCCGAGGGACCTGGACAGACTGGAGAGTTGGGCTGATTCCAATGGGATGAAGTTCAATAAGGCCAAGTGCCAGGTCCTGCACTCTGGCCACAACAACCCCCTGCAGCGCTACAGGCTGGGGACAGAGTGGCTGGAGAGCAGCCAGGTGGAAAGGGATCTGGGAGTTTGGATTGATAGAAAGCTGAACATGAGCCAGCAGTGTGCCCAGGTGGCCAAGAAGGCCAATGGCATCCAGGCCTGGATCAGGAACAGTGTGGCAGCAGGACGAGGGAAGTGATTCTTCCCCTGTACTCAGCACTGGTGAGGCCACACCTGGAGTGCTGTGTCCAGTTCTGGGCCCCTCAGTTCAGGAAGGATATTGAGGTGCTGGAGCGGGTCCAGAGAAGAGCAACCAGGCTGGTGAAGGGACTTGAGCACAAGTCCTGTGAGGAGAGGCTGAGGGAGCTGGGGTTGTTTAGTCTGGAGAAGAGGAGGCTCAGGGGAGACCTCATCGCTCTCTACAACTACCTGAAAGGAGGTTGCAGCCAGATGGGGATTGGTCTCTTCTCCCAGGCAACTACCAGCAGGGCAAGAGGGCACAGGCTTAAGCTCTCCCTGGGGAGGTTTGGTTTGGATATTATGAAGAAATTTTTTACAGAGAGTAATCAAACATTGGAATGGGCTGCCCAGGGAGGTGGTGGATTCACTGTCTCTGGAAGTTTTTAAGACGAGACTGGATGTGGCACTTAGTGCCATAGTGTAGTAATCACGGTGGTGTTGGATCAAGGGTTGGACTTAATGATCTCGGAGGTCTTTTTCAGCCTGGTTGATTCTATGATTAAAAATCATAATGCCTAGAATCAAAATCACTGTCATTTTTGTGTCACCTCCATTTGAGATGCATAATACGTAGTCCACAAGCAGTCCTTAAATGAGGCAAAATTTTAATCCTTCCATCATGGTGTCCAATGATCCTGCTTCAGCTTTTACTCAGACAGCACTTTTCAAAATGTCATGCTTTTGTTCTTTGACGGAGTATACATTTTATCCCAAAACCTTGTACAAATAAAATTCTAATTAATCTCTGCTTACATTTTTTTTAAAAAAGGGACCTTAGCAACTCACCAATTACAAATTAATTTTTAATAGATGGACTTGCAAAATTTTATTTTCTGTTTAACTCCTCTGACAGACATCTGAGAGCTTATGGGAAGGCACAAAGGCAAAACTGCCCATGAAACCTTGCTATATCAGCTGGAATAAATTACCAGCTTTCAAGTCTTATAAGCAAGCACAGGACATGCATAACTGAAGTCAGTAGAAAAATTAAGTGTATAGATCTAGTCCTTGCAACTGTTCAGTTTTGCAGCTTCTGTTGAACACAGAAACTTGTGATAGCTTGGCATTAGGATTTAGGATTTAGTTCTATGTAAACATAGGAAAACCACATATGCCATTGCTCAGCATTCTCTCAGTCTGGAGAAAAGCTAAATTTAAAAGAAGTGCTTTTCTTGAGTCATGTGGCATTCTTGGAGTTGTGAGACTTCTATACAGACCTTGAAATATTGAGATTTCATCCCTCCTTCCTTCTACTAACAACTGGATTCCAAAATAGTATACCTCTTGCTGAGAGAGCAAACTAAAATTCCCATGTTACAGGCAGAGTTCTATGCTATGTTTTAAAGGTCTCGAGAAATTTCTAAATGTCACATGAATAGCTGAACTAAGGAGCTGAAAACTCAGCTTCTGCTAGTAGAATAAAAGAGGTGCAGAAATACAGGATTTTGCACCAAGAACAGGACATCTTAATTTCAGTAGTAACAAACTAGGTGGAAACACATAGCAATCTGGTGTTTCAACATGTAAATGACACGTAAAATACAAGCCTCCCTCATGTCAGTAACTATCAAATGTACCACTGTTGTGCCTGTTTGACAAGGGCTGGATATCATTAAAAATGTAAGAACACCAGAGCTAAATTCCATTCCAAGTTTCTTTTGCACAGTGGTACTCTGACTCAGCTGGTTTTAGTTATGTAGGTAAAAATGTTAAAAATGTGTTGTAATTTCATTTTTGTTCTTTTTCTGTGGCTGTTGGCACATACTGCTCAAGTGAAATTTGAAATATGAAATATACAAAGAAGGGCAGGGGGAGATGAAAGAACCAGACAGCAAATAGAACTGAAAACTCTTAGTCTAGCATACAAAGAAACCTTTACTAATTTGCTATCAAATTCCTGCTTAAAGACCTGTTGGTGTTTGTGCCAGGACAGCGGTTAAATAGCTGAGTATGAGCACAGTTTGCTTCACTATGAAACTACTTTCATATCCTCAGGACTTGTAGTAGTTTTAAGACTAGGCCTTCCTTGGTGACCAGGTTGTAACCAAGGAACCAAGGCCATGTTCCCAGTATTCCATACGATTTTTACGTAAGCAAGAGTATAATTAAGAAGAGAGAGGAAACTCTCGCTCTCTTTCTTCCGGTGGACCGAAGGCGAAGGTAGCTCTGCTGTCGCTCTGCCCGGGTGAGGGAGTGAGGCCTAGCGCATCTGGTTGGCCTTGAGAGACAGAGAGTGCCGGCGGTTGTGTGGTGTGGTTCGCTATCTCTGGAGGGAAGTATTTGCGTTATATCCCTTTTTATTCCTTTTCCCTTTTCCCTTTCCCTTCCCTTTTCCCCTTTGGGGGGTTCCCTGTATATAATTTTCTTTGTGTATACATATATATATATAAATCTTCCACTTAAAATTCAGTTCGGTTTGAGTTCTTTTGATTTTTCTTTTTCGTGATCTTTTCGGTCAATTACACGAGAGTGAGAGGGAGGGGGAAGGCTTTG